AAAACCCGAGTTTACAAAGTGCTTTGACAGCAAAGCAAGAGAAGTAAATGAAAGAATGCTGTACATAGAGTTTTAAAAGAAAACATCAATCTTGTTATTGTAAATTGTCGGATTAAAATAGGTATTTTTTATAATGGATTCTATTTATCACAGTTTCTGATTTTGGATTTGAGATTTAATAGATTCACTGCTGCTCCCGTGGTTTCCTAAGGTGCTTTATATTTCAAACAATATTCAAGACTCGTCAACCAAGGGGCAAAAATAATCAACACGGCCACTATTAACACTTAGATTCTTCCTCCTGTAGTTTCTCTCCACTGGAGTGCTTCCTGGCAGGAGATTTACTTTGTGACATTAAATCAATCAATCTCATTTAGAAATAAACAACATACAGACACAAAACTGAAGAGAATGTAAGGTCTTAAAATAGGGACAATCTTCAGAACAGGCCCTGATGAGGTGATAAAACAGAAGACACCTAAACATCAACTCATATTGTTTTAATCGCTGCGTATTTACGAACACACTTCAGTTAAACAACCCAGATATCAAGAATGTGTTTTATTATAACTGTTATAGTTTATACTCTATCTGCCAGTGAAACTGATCAGCAGATGAAGTTGAAATTGATGATACTTGTTTAATCTTGTTAAAATGCACATTTCACTGGTTGTGTGGAACAAACTGGGAGTTAAACTCACTGATCTGATCATTATTATCATTTTACATTGTTTTATTTGATCTCGGTTTTACTCTTTTCTCATCTGTATATCTTCATTTCTGTTTCCCTGCTCTGTCTTCATTGTTTCTTTGCTTTCGAGTTCTCATTTGTTCTCTTAAAGAACATTGTTACTATGTTTTGGTTTATTACTTATTATTAATTTCACTCTAATTGCAGTGCACTTAATACACACATCTTCAATACGTCTTCACAGTCAGGTCTGCCATGGATCCTGTGTGAGGCCATGAAGAATTGACGACGTTCCTCTGAGTCAGTATATATTTATTATCTTGGCACCGGTATGACACGATGATGAATTTTTAGGTTGTATTCAAATGAAAGGCCTGACATGCCGGGACACTGGATCTGTAGGATACGAGCAACAGGCCTCGCTGTTGCCAAGTCGGCGCACAAACAGCACAATGCCCGGAGGCACAGTTACATGAATGTGAGAGAAAATTACAGTTTGTGTTGTGTTTGCCTATATGTGTGCATGCCTCGACACAGTGCCCCGCATGTGTGTGTGTGACTGTGACTGTGAGCAGCCTTCGAGACAACTGCGCATTTGCTTGGCCAACTTTTCTGTAAAACCACCAAAAACTAATACATTCCATTAACTTCATTGGGAAGGTGTTTGGATGTATTTGCTTCCAATGAGCCTGATGGGAGACGACACTGGCCACAAGGTGCGCGTCCACCTGGCTGGTGTCAGGTGGTGGTGAGGCTTGGGGGATGCAAATGGGGCAGGGACTGTCTGGCAGTGAGGAGGCACGTCCAGCTTCATATGTTTGCGCACGCGTAATGCATGCATTCACGTGCACGCGTGCACGCCGACACCCTGGCGCATACATAAAAGAGAGCAAACACTTCAGCTCTTTCGGGGGCAGATGGCAAAAATGTCAAGCACGCGGGATGCTGCGCTCCATCCAGGCGGAGCCGGCTGCGCGGTTTTACGCACGACTGCTGCACCGAGCTCATCCAGAAAGACCCCGAGGCTTCCTGAATTCAGCCTGATCCTCTCAGTGATGCTGCTCGCCTCGGTCCGGCCAGCATCCGCTCATCCCCAGTGTCTGGACTTCGAGCCACCTTTCCAACCTCCCTGGCACCTGGAGTTCTGCAAGCAGTACGAGGAGTTCGGATGCTGCGATCAGAAAACGGACAACATGATCGCGGAGAGATTCTGGGACACCGTGGAGCAGCTGGAGGTGGCCGGTCACGAGCTCTGTGCAGACATGCTGAAGGAAGTCATGTGTCAGGTAAATGTATTTTATTTTGTTGTTGTTGACAAAAGTGGGATTGTGGGATGTTAAGGATGCTGTTGTGATGATATTATAGAGAACATTTCTCATTCTGGAAAAATCTGTTCATATATGACAAACCTGTGTTTTTATATTCTTTAAACTTTCTATTTGGAAATCCAAGTCTGCAGCTGATTTCAGATAAAAACCCTCATGAAGTTACATCAGAACTACTTTTGTAAAAGGAAAAAACATTGTTTTAATTTGTTTAAATTGAATGAACATTTATGATTCTCCCCTTTTTAATCTAAATGAATCCAAATGTAAGTGGAAACAGTTTAGAAGAGGTGGAGATTGTTTTTTAATCACTCAGATCATTCCTTGGTCTTCAGCTCCTGTGATACTCAGTCCACTGTCATGTCTCCTGTGTGTCTCCTCCAGGAGTGCTCTCCTTATGCCGCCCACCTCTATGATGCAGAGGACCCGTACACACCTGTCAGAGAGCTGCCCGGCCTCTGCTTTGACTTCTGTTCTGAATTTCATAGCAAATGTGGCCACGTGGTTAAATATTTAACTGAGAACCAGCGGCTGCAGGACACCGCTGAGCGGGACATGTCCACGTTCTGCACCCTGATGGACCTGTCTGACCAGGACTACTGCTATCCCAATGTTCTGAAGACCCAGGACCTCAACGGGAACCTGGGGCAGGTGGTGGAAGACCGCAAAGGGTGTCTCCAGCTGTGCCTGACTGAGGTGGCCAATGGTCTGAGGAACCCCGTCTTGATGTTGCACAGCGGAGATGAGACACACCGGATGTTCATCGCAGAACAGCTGGGCTTTGTGTGGGTCTACCTGCACGACGGCAGCCGGGTGGAGCAGCCTTTCCTCGACATGAGCGGGGAGGTGGTGACCACCCCCTGGTTTGGGGATGAGAGGGGTTTCCTGGGCATGGCCTTCCACCCCAAGTACCGGCTCAATGGACGCTTCTTCATCTACTACTCTATCCAGGTCAACAGCGAGGTGGAGAAAGTCCGGATCAGTGAGATGAAGGTGTCTGCTCACGATATGAACATGGCCGATCCTTATTCCGAGAGGTACGCAGATGCCACTTTTCCTTTTGTTCTTTGTTATGGATTCCAAACTTGAGCTGCAGGTACATTTGGATGAACCTGCAGAACCACAGACACCAGTGTGGAATCATCTCACGCTGCCAGATAGTGAATTTACCAACAAACGCTCATTTCCATTGATTTGGGATGATAACAGAAATCTTCATGGTAGTTTTCTCCGAACCTCCCCCAGAATCTACGAGAGCGGTCACATGTCGCCTGGATAAATATCTGCCTAAATGTTGAATCACTGATTCTAGATGAAAATGTATTCAACTGCATTCTTTTTTTAAATCCAGGGTTATTTTAGAGATCACTGAGCCAGCTGCAAACCACAACGGAGGCCAGCTGCTGTTTGGTTTGGATGAATATTTGTACATCTTCACTGGCGATGGTGGAAAAGCTGGGGATCCATTTGGGAAGTATGGCAACGCACAAAACAAGTAAGGTTACAATATCTTTTCTCCTGCGCTTGAATTGTCAGGAATTAGGTAAAATATTTGTTCCGTGTTAGATTTTACAAATTCAACCATTCATCCATGATATGTTAAAAGTTAAATGGTTGTAATCTGCAGCCTCTCCACTAGATGTCACTAAATTCTACACTTTTAATCAGTTAGCTATCGTCAACTACTTATCTGTAACTTTAACTATTCGAACCATTTAACCAAAACATTTGACTCAGTATTTTTACAATTCAAACATTTTTAACAATCCAGCCACCGGGCTACTTCTCGATAATTATTTTTAACGATTTGCCAAAACCTTAAACTAAATATTTATCAAATAACTCTATGTACGTAACCAGCGGTTAATAACTTATCTTATGTTTACGTCATTTAGATTTTATTACTGTTTCATGCTGTCTCAATCCCAATATGCAATGGAAGTATTCAACTGTTGCTATATTCTGTTTTTTGCTACGCAGGAGTGCTCTGCTGGGAAAAGTACTGCGAATTGATGTGGACGTACGTAACCCCAGTGGGAGGCCGTACACGATCCCCCCCGATAACCCATTCATCCATGACCCAGACGCCCGGCCTGAGGTGTACGCCTACGGGGTCAGAAACATGTGGCGGTGCTCTGTGGACCGCGGCGACCCCGTGAGCCGCTACGGCAGGAGCAGGATATTCTGCGGAGACGTCGGGCAAAACCGCTACGAGGAGATCGACATTATTGTGAAAGGAGGGAACTATGGCTGGAGGGCCAAGGAGGGATTCGAGTGCTATGATTTGAAACTGTGCCACAACTCGTCATTGAGTGAGTATGTTCAAGAGTCCAGAGACGTTTCTCTCAGTCGTTCTCTCGCCGCCTGTTGTTTCCGCCATCGTGTGTTTTTTTTTTCCGATGCTCCAGATTTGAGTTTGAACATCTTTCTCTGCCACAACAGACGACATCCTGCCCATATTTGCTTACAGCCACCATGTTGGGAAATCTGTGACGGGGGGGTATGTGTACAGAGGATGTGAATCACCCAATCTGAACGGCCTCTACATTTTCGGAGACTTCATGAATGGGTAAGAGAGCAGCTGATCGGAGACAAATACTTTACGCCAACTGTCAATCAAGTTTTCAGCTTGTGGAGGAAAAGTCAACTTGTTTTCTCAAATTAATGTGTCCGTCTTTTTTGGAATTTATGGAAAAACGAATGTTTATCAATATCAAGATCTTTTTTCTCCAGTTTCTTTTGCATGATGTTCACAAGAAAACAATATAGATAAATAAATTGCCAAAAATGTAACGTGGATGTTATAATAACTGTTCCTGTCATTTTTGCAGTCGAATAATGGCGTTAGAGGAGGACAAGAGGACGGGAGTGTGGAAAGAAAGGAGTGTGTGTATGGGTGATACGAAAACATGCTCTTTTCCCGGACTCATCAATCATCACCACAAGTTCATCATCTCGTTCGCTGAAGATGAAGCAGGTAACACATCTCTCGTTGCCTCTAGCGCCTGGATTTCATCGACACCGCTCACATGGTTCCTGTGTTTTTCTCAGGGGAGCTTTATTTTCTGGCCACTACGTACCCCAGCACCACGTCTCCCTCTGGAACCGTTTTCAAATTCATGGATCCCTCCAGGTAGAGTGACAATATATCAGCTCATCAAAAATCATGCCTGCTTTGCTTTGGATCATCTGCATATAGATTCATGCAATATTCACCTTTCTTTAATACTATGGTGATTTCCTTCAGTCAAACTATGAACAGTTGTTTAAAACACACCAATGTCCAGGCATTAAATAAGATATATTTAAAGTGACTTGAAGTTGAAGGCTCAAAATTCTCCTCCTTGGCTTTTAAATCAGACGTCACGTCCTCCATGATTCCAGAAATATGTAACTTCTGCCGTCTGATCACAAATACGCATTACAGAAGAAATCATCACTTCCCGGGCCAATGGTGCATTTAAAGGCCCAACTTTACTGTTTCCATATGTTCAATAAAGGATTTAAAGAGCTTGTGAAAAAGTTCTCCAGATCAAAATACTGTCATTAAAAGAAGAAAAATTGAGGAATAAAAACAACATTTCTTTCTTCCAACATAAATTAGCATCGAGTTGTGATACTTAATTTTGACCTTTATCAGAGATAAAAACTGTGAGGGCCTTATAGTGAACCTGCTGCCAAGTGTGATACGAGTGCTTTACTGGTTCCAGACGACACGGTCCTTTGTTCTACATTCTGCCCTCATATTGTTTAGATAAAAAATCCACCGAGCACCCATGGACGTGTTGGCATTAAACTGTGGCGTGGTCAGCACATTGTTGGTGCATCGCTGTCTTTCAGCAACAGAGATCTGTTGAGCGATTGACCAACACAAACCTGGTCTGGAGACAGTGGTGCAGTATTTCACTTTTATTTTGAGGGCACAATATCAAGATAGTTATATATACATCTACATAGACAGGTGCACAACACATGAACATGTTACACACTCAGGTGGTTTCCTCTGCAGGGAAATCATTTTTTCTCACTACCTGACAAATGTGCAGTTATAACAGCGATCCACCGAGCTGCAAGTCCAAAATCCAACTGTGATTCATTAAGAGACTGAGTTCAACCCCTTTTGAATCATGTGACTGATGCTAGAACTTTTGTTTTCCTCCGCTAAACTAGCAGAAGTTTGAACACGTCTCAAATGCATTGGACCGTGCGCTTAGATCGTTAAAGCTCAGCCATAAACCTTTAAAATACAGTTTTGGTCTTGGTAGCGCCACTTGAGGTGTGTTTTGGTCTCATTCTACAACCATGACAAATTATATGTTGTTTGAAAGCATTAAGTCTCCTCGTTCTATTTGTGCAAAACATTTTAGGGATCCCCACATCACGGCGACAGCTGTTCTCCATTTTTTGCAGCAGCTTCTTGTCTTTTTGGTTGTTTGTAAAAGCAGGAGACATGTTCAAGTGCCAAAAGCGACACAGAGTTTTCACCACAAGATTCCAACGAACAAAACGAACCCAGGCTGTGGTCCAATAAATGTTGTGGAGACACAAAGCCAACAACTTGAGTAGTTTTCTTTGGAGCTGTAATCAAAAGATCAGTAACCTTTTTATTTCGGGGACGTATTGTAAACAAAATGTTGGTGAATATGGTTCAAGGTTGAATTTCTTCTTCTGCAGACGAGCTCCTCCAGAGAAATGTAAGCGGAAGCCGCTGCCGGTCAAGGTGAAGGGGAAAAAGCTTCCATTCGTGCCCAGGGAATGTAAGTCCCCTCAGTTTGCACTTTAGATTTCCATCACCTCTTCTTCTTCTTATGGCTGTCATTATTTTATAGTGTGCACATACCAGGCTTGTTAAAGACAGACTTTGACTGAGCTTGTCTGACTAAGTGGAGTGAATTGAACCTTATACTGAAATAAATCAGAGGTGATTTTCATTTTTTAGGGAAAAATAGTTATCGAGTCAGTTTAAGTGATGTTAGTTTAAGGGAAACAATTCACTGTTGATTGTCCCGAGAAGAACCTGGTCTCAATTTTATGTTCACATGCTGCCAAATTGTAAAATAGCACTGAGTTCATACTGTAAAACTATAAAAATCAATTTCTCAGTGTTTCGAACACATGAGACTCCTTTCAGAGCCAAACATTCAGCCCAGCTTTATGAAATCCAACATAGTCGATGTGGCTGCAAAGTAAAACAGTAAAAATGTGTAGAGTAAAATGACCCCTGTGCCATTTCAGTGACCGTGCTGGAAACAAACGAAAAACCTACGAGACCACCTCCGAAGAAAATAAAGCTCACCACCAAACCACCAACAACGAGCAGCCCAGTCAAATCTACAACGTCCGCAACCAAAGCGACGACGTCCGCAAACAAAGTGACGACGTCCGCAACCCAAGTGACGACGTCTGCAAACAAAGTGACGATGTCTGCAAACAAAGTGACGACATCTTCAGCCAACGTGACGACATCTTCAGCCAACGTGACGACGTCTGCAAACAATGTGACGACGTCCTCAGCCAACGTGACGAGGTCCCCAACCAACGTGACGAGAGCGAGCACTACGGCGCTAAAGTGGAAATCACCTGAAAAGAAAGCAAAGGAAAAAAGTACGTTGAAACCACGGAGGAAAACCAAAATCATGAACAAGCAGGAAGCCACAGCACAAACGAAGAAGAATGCTCCGCGGCAGAAATCCAGGGAACAGTCAAAGAAGACCACGGCGACAGAACCCGTCAGTGAGAAAGATAAAGTTAAACCAAAGGCCAAGCAAACTGCCTCAGACAATTCAAAAACAAACGGTCTGCAGGCCTCCGAGAGGCTGAAAGATAACATCCACATGAAGAAGAAGAAGATTCTCCAGAGGAAAGCAGCACTGAAACAAATCAAACTCGGGAAGAACAACATGAAGGTGAAAGATGAACTTCACGCTTTCATGAACAAAACTAAGACAAACTTGAATGTGAAAAGCAACAGAACAATGAGAAACCAACTTCAGGTAAAAAGCAAGAAAGCCAAAGACACTAAAGCACTTTAGAACTTTTTTATATGACTGACTCTTTATTTGTTCTATATGTTTATATGTGAGAGAATCAGTGTTGTTTCATTATAGAGGAGTAGTTTGATTTCCAGCCAAGAATTTGATGATTGATACCAGAATCCAACCTGTTCAATAAATGTAAAGCTACAGCCGGCAGCAAAACACCTGATGCACTTCGCACCACAGCTCATCAATGATCATGTTTTAGCTTGTTTGGTTGATCCTGACAAAAACTGATGCGTAAAAACGACACTAAATCTTTGTGAGTCTATAGAAATCCACTATAAAATCACATCTTGATGTTTTAACACTTTGGTTCCCAGAGAAATAAAAATACACAATATGATGTTTGATGGTTCCGCGGCTGCGTGGTTTCACTTCCAGTTTTTAAAGCGAGGCTAAGCTAAGCTAACCGCCTGCTGGTTGTGGCAAGTGTAAGTGCATTTCCCAGAAAGTGGAACTACTCCTTTAACTGTTTCATCCAATTATGCATGTAATGACACAGTTTCCTTTATGGCTTATTTCTGACTGTCGTAAAATGATTGACCTAAGTTAACCGTCTGTATTTAGAACGTAACAAATAGGTTGGAAATAGAAATAAGAAGCAGACACACACACAGAAAATAATTTTACAACACATGCAAGTGTTAAAAATAAACATTAGAAAGTGTCCTGTTTCAGAAACGCTCTGTAATTAACTCAGAACCACTGATCATAACCAAAACCACCCGTTCCTTCCTTGCTGTAAATGTTGAGCCGGCCTGACGGCGACATGCACTCGCACACGCCGAGGCAACGTAAATTCTCACAATCCAGCATCGTGACACATTCCTGAGGAGCGGAATGTGTAAAAATGACATTTCATAACTTTGCAGCGTCGGTTAGGATGAAGGGAAGTTTACCCGAGGGGACCTGGAATAACATGAAATGACATAACGTGACGAGGCAAACGTGTATGACGCGACAGAAACATGCCGCATTATTATGATGACATCATTTTTATACATTGGCGTTGTGTTTGATTGACATGAGAGAGTTTGAGGATAAGTTGCAGATCTTAGTGACCAACAGCAGATGTTTGGGACAGATGTTCGTAACTTAAGAGTCATTTGTTGTTCCGGCCTCTGCTAAGTCAGCCCCACCACAGGCTGATCAGACCTGGGTGTGTGGCCCCAACGTCTTGGGGCCCAGGTTGGCTCTGTCTGAGACATATGGAGGCAGCTCGGAGTGGAGCCACTGCTCGTTTATGTCAAAAGGGGTCAGTAGAGTCGTTTCATCCTGTCAGGAGACCGCCTGGACCTTCTGAGAGCCCGGGTAGGACCAAGAACTCTGCTGGAAGGACAAGGTATCCCATCTGGCCTGGGAACACCAGGTGGACTCTGTTGGGAGGGATGTCTGGAACACCCTGACTGCCTGAGTGATCCGGCCTCGGGTAAGAATAAGAAGATGAAGACACAGTGTAGACACAGGAAATGCTTGACTTGGTTATGACATAAATGTGAAGACTGCAACCAGGACTTCAAGACTGAACTCGTACCATCTCTGACATAACTTATCATAAATGCCACATCAAACTATTTAATAACACCACATGTACGATGGCATAACATGACAGAAACATACTGTCCCATGACAGAACATGATTGGACATGACATAAGAACATAAACCACAGTACATGTACCCAGGATTACATGTCTCAGGCTTCTTTCTCGGCTCCAAACATGGAAACGTTCAGGTGCTGCCCATTATCCTGAGAACTTATTAGTCAGACATCTTGAGGACCTGTTTCAAACTGACGCCCGAGGAAATAAAAGTATTTAAGTTTAAGTTGAGGGGCTGCTCGTGTTGCAGGGCTACAAGTGCTCATTTCCCTCCACATCAAGGTCCCCTGTACGTTGAAGCTGAACTTCTTCAAACCACCCGACCCTCACAAATTACAGACCTTCACAACTATACATTTGAGCTTAAGTGTCACCAGAAAAACCTGATGGTGCTAAAAAAAAAAAAAAAAAAAACCTCAACAATTATTGAAAACAAACTTTATCACCTTTTTCCTCAAAGATTTTAGTTTGTGTCTAGTTTCTTGTCGTGCAGCAGCTCCTGTTTTCTCCGTTTATCACCACCTGCGGCTGTTGTGCCACAGGCGCCGACTGCTTGAAGTGTAATAGTCATTTTCAACTAACAAAGAACTTTGCTGACACGTGAGCTGACTCACAACACGATGCGTTTCCTCTCCTGTTAAAGACGACGTTTCAGCGTTCTGTCATTTCTGTTGAATTCCTAAAGTCGATCAACTGTGACCACCTTCACTAACGCCCGATCATTGAGCGGTAGGTTTGTCCCTTAACGTACAGATGATACTCAGCTCTCTGTGTACATGGTGGAGGAAACACTTATACAATACAACTATACTATACTATACTAGTGCCTGTGCGAAAAGAAGACACATTTACCCACAGTGCATCACAGAGTGGGAGAACAGCTGAGTCACAAACAGGACGGTGTGTAACTGTGTGTAATCAAGTGGGATGGAGACTCGGAACTACACACAGTCTGAAATGACTACACACTATTAGTAAATAACCTGCTGTTCAGTACATGGAATGTTCTGTGTTCTACTAAATACTCAACACCTGTGGTGGGATGTAACAAAGTACATTCAGCAGATTTGTCATGTATCTGTACTTTACTTATGTAGGTTTACTTTCCCAATATCTGTCATTTCTGTTTAAATGTAATTAAAAGTACTGACTTTACTACTAATGTTGTTTGAGTACTTCCTCCACCACTGCTCGATACTACATATATATATATATATATATATATATATATATATATATATATATATATAAATATATTTATATAACCTGTTGCCCCGATGCTTTAACATCATCGCCGGTGGAGACCCCTCTCAGCTGTGTGAGAAATGTAGCACCATCCCACAACGTACTCTGAGTGAAGAAATGATGAACTGGGGCCGACCGCAGGAGAAGTCTGCTGAGGTCTTGTTTTAAACTGGAGCTTGAAAAACACGTAGTTCAGCTGCGTAAAGAAATTATGGTTCAAACTGGGTTAACAAGCATTGTGTCAGAAAACCAAGAAAACCTCTAGGACGTAAATTTAAATATGCAATGATGAAGTCATTAAAAAAGAGACACGGCGGCTGCTGCGTTGACATTGATGATTGAAAACACATCGGAAAAATACATAAAACCTCCAGCTCCTCTGTCAATCATGTTCACACATGGGCGAATAAAAACCTCTTAATCCACAACATACACGTGTTTAGGCAGAGGTCGAGTCAGGATTCTGGGTAAAATGATCAGTTCTTACTATTTGAGTAAAGGGATATCGCCCTCTAGTGGCCATCCCGTGGATCACCATTAACAAACCCTAACTCTCCATGTGTCACTTCCTAAATCTGGGAATCCTGCAGATCCTGTCGGGAACACGAGAACAGAGGAGCTGGAAAATATTTCCCCTGACAGGTGAAGCTGAACAGACTCACTTCTGTTATCATTCAGCAGCGGCTACCGACTTTAAACAGCCACAACAAGAAGCTCCATTTTAAATCATTTTATTTACTTCAAAATATATTGAAAAAAATCAACGTCCATAATACAACATTTAGAAAAGCGTGTTCTAAGTAACTGATCATTTAAAATAATCCAGTTATATTGATATACATTCTGTTAAGTTGACCAACCATTACAGTTTAGTTTAGTTCACATTTTATCACCAAAACTCAAGACAATTTCGTTTTTGTCATAAATGGCAGCATGTGCAATAGTGTCAGGATTGAAATGTGCAAAAATATTTTCATTTCAGGTTCTAGTAGTGTTACTCAACGACCTAGTATAAAAACACTACTTGATCATCGGGGTTAATTTGAGCGGCATTAGTGACTCTGTGAATTACAGCCTCATTTAAAACATGTTAATGTTTTTTCCTTATTATTTTTCCATTCTTGATCTAAGTGCTTCCTCTCCTGGCAGCACGGTGACCCTGCAGTGACTGCACCAACCATGCCTTCCCCTCTCTGAGTCGCTCTATCAGCGGCTGATCTTGTACACGACATCTCCGACCTGCAGGATCCCCGTCTTCTTCACGGTGTGCAGCTGTCCGAACAGCGGAGCCGACTTGTAGATGTCCTTCTCGGACGGTTTGCACCGACGGTAGCTGTGAAAGAATCGTCAGCGGGATGAGCTCAGACAAATATGAGATTATAAGATAAAAAATATAAGCGAACACGACGTGCTTCATTTCATCAGATGATTTAAAGAAGCCAAATTGAGCAGAAAGGCAAATATATTAATCTTCCCTTAAATATAGTGAGTTAAAACTTTACCTTTTCAGGGTTTCCAGAGGCTCTTTCCTGTTGATTATACCAGTTTCAGGGTCAACTGTGGTGAAAATACATCTGTGCACAACAGAAGACACCGTCAACTCCAACAAACACATTTCAACATCAAACACTTTAACTGACAGTAGATTTAAAGATGTAATTTGCATCCAGGGAATCGAACCCCAAACTAAATGAAGTGATCGTGATCAGGCACGTTACCTTCCACATGACATGACGCGCTGCAGCCGCACGTTGCCAATCTGGACCTCTTCCCATGAGTCCTATTAAAAGAAGAGCAGTTGGTGTTGGAAGTTTTTGGATCCAGAGATACTTATAGTCGAGGCTGCTCACACTGAAAAGGGCAAAGTATTAGTCAGAAGTAAAGAACCGAATGATTTTCAAACAGGAGGGAAAAACCACACGGGCTGTTCCTTTTACGTTTTGTGGTTCTGATCTCATCCAAACATCTGGTCTCTGGTTTTATCTTTGTCCGTGTGACCAGGAGAAGACAGAGTCATGTTTGCAGATGTAAAGCTGAACCACACACCTCCTCGAATGCCTCACAGTCACTTATCACGATGTTTGGGCGGAAGCGGTCCACCGTCACGTCCTTGTCCAACCTGCTGCTGAGATCCTTAACCGAGGCCTCCGACAGCAGCATCACAGGACCGACATCTGAGTACGCCACCTGCTGGATACATGAGACAACACCACAAGTCATATCACAAATGTCAATATTTGAGATTTTAAATCAGAGGGAGCTCGAGCAAACACAAAGCGAGGAGGACTGTATTTTCCCATGATTAACGCACATTAAAACCTGCAGCACAACGTCACTACCTCGTGCTGTGGGAAAAGAAACTCCATCTCCACCGACCTCCTGGCCTTCATCTGCGGTTCAAAGTGCACCAGGCGAAAGGTTTTCTCCTCCTCCAGATAACGAGTGAGCCAGCGAGACGCTTCCTCGCCACAGTCCCGGCCCTGGATGTCACTGCCAAACACTCTGCGGCACGAAAAACAACGAGAAGCATTACACAAGCCTGAGGGCACGGCGGGAGCAGAAGTACACAAAGTAAAATAACCATCATTTCAAAGTTTGACAGTATGTTTTATGATCCGCTCTTGTAATAATACTATGTATAATATCCTGAGATGACAAAACAAGCAGGTGTTCTGGCTGAAAATGATTCTAATCATCAATTAATCATATGTTTTATATTAAAATACCAACAGGTGTCAGTCAGAGAACACTGTGGGGGTGGATTTAACCTGCAGTCCATGATGTTGTTGTCAGGCTGTTTGACCGGAAACCTCAGCTCCTCCATATTTGGTCCGTTCAAACAAACCTGACCTCCCTCACAAGTCAGAGACACCAGGACGAGACGAGGCTCCTGTCTGCCCGTCACCATGTGACCGTCGTCTGTCACCACCAGCCAGTGTCTGCAAACAACACAACAACTGTGGGGTTCCCTCATTTCTCCAGAGTCACGACACTCGAAGATTTCACAAGTGAGACAAAGTTACAGGAAAGTGAATTTAAAAAAAACATACATTACAGGTTGTTTAAAATGTTTTAAATCTTTTGGGCTCTCTGATGCTCAACAACAACAACAATAATTATAATAATACACTTTATTTCTCTTTAATTCGATCTATATATTTATATTTTAGCACTTTTCTAAAAAAGGTACACAAAGTTCAACGGAGAGAAAAAAACATTTGGCAAAATTTGAGGGATCACGGCTGGTGGATTATAAATAAAGTTCAAAAGTTTATGGTTGATAAAACAAAGTATTATTGATAAGATTCATCTGAGTGTGGATTAAAACGTGTAATGCAGGTGTTGACACATGTGGTTGCACTTGTTGTGTCCTCTCAGTGTCACAGCTGCAGGACAGGACACGATTGACTGCAGGTTCTGGTCCTGCTGGGACACAGGAGCAGCTGGACTCTGGACATCGAGTCTCACTCACCGGTCCAGCATGTGTCCAAACTTCAGACCGACTTTGACACACTCGGCCAGAGACAGCGACACCGCTTTGGCTGATTTCAGCGGGTGAAGCAGCAGCTGAGAGACGACCCCCACCCGGACCAGCTCCTCGGTCCTCCTCAGGTACTTGTATCCGAGCCCGAGGCCCAGGGCTGCGGCTCCGGCTCCGAGCAGAAGAGCCGCGGTTCTGTTCTGGGTCAACAACTTCACGTCCATATTCAGTGTTCCCGTGACTTCCGATCACAAAGCGGAAGTGGGGGGGGACTGCAGTTCCCTAGGGGGCCTAATGGGGGCTGCTGCTGTAAGAGCACACATGCAAACAGGAAAAGCACGTGCAAATAGAAAAAAACATGCAAATAGGAAAAAACATGCAAATTTAGGAAACATCAATCTGTGACACATATGCTGAAAAAAGTCACATCACGTGCTAAATACAGAACCGTCACTGAACCGACACTGCAAATGTTTCCAGGGATCCAAAAAAGTGATGACCCTGCTGTAGTTCGATGATTTGTGAAGTTCCGTCACCACTGACGAGCAGCAGATGTCGGTAAAGTCACAAAACATTGAACTGAAGCCGTGTTCATCACTGTTTTGGCACCACCGAGAAAACTCTGGCTCCAAATGAGCGGCACAAGATGGCAGCTTCCATATCCAGGATATCTTGGCTTCGTTTCTGGATGGTGGGAGGAGATGGAGACATGTCGTCCATCTTTACACACACAGTCAGTGGGAGTAAGAGTTAGACATCATCACAACTGGAAGTAAATCCCTTTCAGATAACACGTTTGAAGTTCTTTTCTTACTCTCCAATTTTTTTATTTTATTTATACGAACCTGCCAGACGGTTAATTGATTATGTCCAATTGAGTGAAAGGAGAATTACTGATTCTGCAGCAGAGACAGTAAGTGCACTTTCACCAAATTGGCATCACTGTGTGACTGACACCTTTAGTTTCAACCTGCCAAGAATTAAAATACCAAAAACTGAGAAGAAATCAGGTGACGTAATGTCACAGCCGACCTTCTCAGTGGAACTATTTTTGTCTTTGACATAGATACTCAGGTCTGTGGCCGAAGTAGAAAACAGCAGATGCTCCAGCCACAGGGGGTCAATACAGGGATTTGTCGAATGGATCCTCCTTCTGTTGCTTTTCTGTGCACATCTGATGGCTGAAGGCAGATTCACCGGCACAGAGCCAGCGCTTACAAACTGTTTGATGATGCGGTGGGAAGAGAATTTTCATAACGAGCTAATCTCTGTATTCTCTGCAAATGATATTATGATTCTGTTCGAAGTGCACGCAACAAGTTAATTGAATTTATTTTAGGCACAGATGATTTTTTCTCAGACCTTCCTCTAATCATTTTCTTTTCTGGAGTTTCTCTTTAACAAAGACTGAAAATATAACCTTCATGAACGGAGGATTTATTGCAGGACAACAGCCTCAAAAATAACTATTACTCTTTATTAAGTGGGTCCATGATGTGTGAAAAGTTTTCTAGGAGATTTCCAGGAAATTACTTGAAAGAGAAGCTCGATTTAAACCAGAGTTCACTATCCAATCAATACTATAAATGTTAATTATGTACGTATGTTGATTTGCCTGAAACATACTAATCTGTAAACTAAAACACAATAGAAACTCTCTGGAGTTAATTCACGACATAAATCACAGTTTCTCTATAATCTCAGCCAAATTACATCAACGCTTTTGAATATTATTTTTTATTATTTTATGGACCCGCAAATTAAACCACGAGCTGAGCTCCGGTCCGATTTTATGAAAAAAATGAAGATGGCTGCTGCAAGGTCAAGTGTTTCTGTTATTCCGTCCACCTCTCTCTCGGCGGCACGACGATGAGCTGGACATAAACAAATGTACATCCTGCCACACACCATGTACGCATCCTCGTAGGTTGTCCGGAACTGGACTTGAGTCAGAATTCCCAAGGGGAAACCATCTGCACCAAACGGTCATCTCCATACATTCAGCAGGGACGTCACACGTTGATAAACAGCATGGAGGTGTAGGAACATATATATCCAAACTCTATAGAAACATAAATCTACTTTTGGATAACTGCGATGAAGAAAGTTCTTGTGGGTATCTAAGTACTCAAACATCACTACGCCCCTGTCGTGTTTAAAAAGGTTTTTTATTTTCCGAGCACCGAGGGAAGCCTGTGTGTGCGACAGGATACAGTACTTGTAAAGATGTACACTCGTTTTCTGGGTCATTGGTTTTTAAAAGCAAATCAAAATCAGACAGAAACAATCATCTCTTCTCCTCTAACATGTGACACTCAGGTGTTTCATGAAGCGCAGGCCTCAGTTTGTCACACAGGTGGAATCTGAAACCTCGAGGCAAAATGTCCACCTGCAGATTTATCACCAGACTGTGACGTTCGGTTTATTACCTCTGCCAATGTTTTCACTGATGTTTGTTTATTGAAACTTTTTCTAACATTGCGAGATTGTTTGCCATTTTTGTGAAATAATCTTTGGCGTGTGCAGAATGTGAATATCTATGATCAGGGGGAGTTTGGCTCGGCTCTCGGACGGCCCCTTCATCTCCAAAGTAATAAAATCTAACATTTAATTTTGTTCTGGCCACGTTCCCGTCATCTGGAGTATAAATACATTCATTACAGCACCTCAGTACTCTTTTGAGAGACTCACACTTTATTTGATTTCTGTTATATTCAAACAATTCAATTAGTCAGAGTTAGAGATGATTATTGGATGATTTTAGTATTGATACTTATATATTTTTCTGTATCTCTGTATCATTACTGAAGTAACGATTCTGAATGCAGGACTTTTGGCAGTTTGCTGATGATAATGTGAGCGTAAAGATTTTATTATCTAACTGATTGACGTTGTATTGATGTGTATAAATAAATTAATAGTTGTTGTTGTTTTAAGGAAAACTGTAAAATACTCAGTGGTTCCAGTTACTCAGATATAACAATATATCTTTGTTGTATTAAATCCCACACTGAACCTTTTTGACCACTGACTGAATAAAACACAAAGCGCAGTCAGAAAAACTACCCGTCACTAAATAATGGAAATGTATTTCTTTCTGGTCAGTCGTGATCAAAAACTCTTCATTTCTGATTTGATTTTCAAAAAACTGCCATTTGCTGTGCGACTTCTAAACCAATCAAACATCTTTGGGGATAAAAGCTTCTGCTGTAGCTGCCAGAAATAAACTTCACATCTTGTCGCCTACACAGAAAAAAAACCCGTCTGAAAACTAAAACAGACCCAGAAACACAAGAAATAGTATCTGAGGGTGGATTTGGACGTTTCCTTCAGTCACACAGACTCGGTCTATTGTGGCATATTTGTTTGCGACTGACAACCAGCTCATCATCCATTGTCCAAACAGAGAAACACCCCCGTCTCTCCCATCTGCCACTGCAGACTGCTTCTATAAATAGTTTGCGTCCACTGTTTGATCCAGATGTGATTCTGTTTGATGGTGGATGAGTTCTGTGAAGCGTCGCAGATGTTCAGGCCAAAAAAGAGCAGGGGAGAGAAACACGATTTGAGTCATAGCCCAAACATGAACCTTGATGGGAGAAATCTGTTGGATATTTAATTTGATTTTTTTGAATTTGAGCTTTTCTGTGTTTTCCGCCGCCGTTGTTAACAAAATGTTAAGAGGTGTCAGTGCTGGTGAGTGTCTACTTGTGATTACTGGACTTTGCCGATGATGCAGTTTTTACCATTTTTACCATTTTATCGAACTTTCCCACTTTTACACGTTACATAATGCATCAGCGTTTCAGGCAGAGAGCACTGACACACACAAAAACAACATAACAGAGGCAACTGCACATGTGAGTCATGTGAAGTTGTGTGTGTGTGTGTGTGTGTGTGTGTCAGTGCTAGAACGGTTCTGACAGTCACAGTTTGTTTAAATCAAGTTTCATAAGGCTTTAGAGTCTGGACTGATTACTCTGAGATGAGACGTGAAACAATAACAGAAATGAAAAATAACAAAGCTTTGAGAAAATAACTGTAAAGTGAATGAACAGTAACAGAAACATGAAAGTGGAATTTGCTGCAGAGCTTGTGCAAGGTGTTTCAAATATTTCATTTTTCAGTTCAGTCTCCTTCAGCTCCTGTTCTGCTCTCACCTACAAACTGTTCATGTGTTCATGTGACATCCTACATGTTCACGCCTACATGGCTCTTGAAAGCACTCTGCACGCCCCCTGAAACACCGGAAGTCAAAACACCGGCTGCTGCTCTTTCTTAAACACATATTTGATTAAGATTTTGCTGTTGACAGTACTGTATGTGTGTTTCCCTTTTTCTGCCTCCTACTGTTGCTCGACTGGGATTATAGCACCACAAACATCTACTTGCAGTCGTGTCTCAGCTGTGAAGACTGCCAAGTATCCATCGTCCGCTCGGCACGGTACACTTATTGTGCCGTACTGAAATCTGCGCGGTGAGAGGCTAGACCGAGCTGCGTCTCTTGAACACGCTGAACGGGGAGAGAAAGCGCAGGCCTGTTGTTGTGGAGTTTATGCTCGTGCACTGACGTGGACTGCAGACGCAGCCTGTTGATCCAGGCTCCATGTAGGGAGAGCAGTTGTTGATCTGCTGCTGCAAGTAGGCATCGGAGAAGGTCAGCTCCTGAGGGATCATCGTGGGTATGGAGCCCTGCAGCTTCTCCTTGCTCCGGTACCACAGGCAGGAGCATATAGTCTGGAAGTGAAGCACCTCTGTGTAGGCACCTTTTAAATCTTTAGCCTTTGCGCTGTCGTTTGCTACAGGAGTGGAGGACGTTGAGGCTGAGACTGGTATAAGACGAGCCACCTCACCTCTGGACTTGCTGACGGACATCAGGGCCTTCTGTCTGGCGTCCCTCCGCTCGTCCTCAGTGTTCATGGTGAGGAAGCGAAGCACCACCAGGTTCAGAAACGCTCCAATCACTGTCAGGCCCATCAGGATGTAAACAAAGCAGAAGGCGACGTAGCGTGGATCGTTCTGCAGCGCGTCGTCCCTCTGCAGGGCCACGTAGTCTCCGAAACCGATGGTAGTGAGCGTGATGAAGCAGTAGTAGTAAGCGTGGAGGAAGCTCCATCCCTCACAGTGGGAGAACGCCACAGCCCCCACGCACAGAGTGCTCATGCAGGAGAAGAAGCCCACGGTCACCATGTTCGCCATGGAGACCTCGGTCTGACGCATTCCCAGGCACTTCTTGGCTTGGTGCAGCAGGTACCTGACAAACGTGTTGATGCGCTCGCCCAGGCTCTGGAACATGACCAGGGTGAGAGGGATCCCCAGGAGGGCGTAGAACATGCAGAACACTTTCCCTGAGTCGGTGCTGGGCGCTGCGTGGCCATAACCTGTAGGAGAGCACATCACATTGTTACCCTCAGACACTGTGACCATCATCTTGAATCATGTCTGAGCACATGCAGCAGGCTTTAGTTTCAGTTTGACACCAGTCTCCTGTATTACATTATTACTTCTGGACTTAAATCCACAGGAAACCAACACACACTCCCAATAAATTCCTCTCACTGATGGAAAAATCCAGCTCCACTGTTCAAGCTTGACGTTATTATTGTGAATCAACAGCTATTTTCTTATTTTACTCCCACACTGTTGTCAGCTGGGATGTTGTAAACACTGGAAATAAACCAGAGACGTCACATTCTCGGTGTAAATTAGCCTTAAGAAGCCTTGTTGTAATAACCGGTGCTGAACCAGGGCCTTGCTCATGTTGTGTTGCTAATTTGGGGTTTTAGTGTTTTTGCAAATGTCCCACGTTTCCAATTACACACAATTTACACCTTTTGACTCCTCATTGTTCTGTTTTAACCAAAATAATAACCCTGACATTTATCAGTTTAACCTTCCGTTAACTGGGAAAGCCTCAGTGAGATTAAACGATTAAATGAATGTTATTATTAATTCATTAATAATAATTAATTTTATATGGGTGGCCCAGAAAAATAAAGGAAGCAAACGCAGAGTTACAGACAGACAACACAAAACAGTGCTGCTTCTTTACACATTCATTGTCTTTGACTTGTCTTAACGGAGAATAGAGAAGATTTTGTCTCATACAAACAATATGTGCTGTTGTATGCAAAACATCAGACACCAGACTGTTGTGTACATAACATGTTTTTGAGAGTACATAAGGTACATAAGTAAAAGTAATGTATGGTGTTACATGTTATAATTAACATGCGTAGAGATTAAATATATCTGCTGTGCAGTTTGTAAAAAAACATTACATCTATAAAACTATTTCTTAGGGTAGGGTCTGTGCTCTGCTAAAAAAAACAGTATGTCATAAGAATTACTGAAAAGTAACATAC